CTGAAAGGCTGATGACTCAATCGCTACTGCCCCCTTTCTGTTTAAAGGTCACCTTCCTTAACTAGTTTTGTTTTCTAGAATCCCTCAGTTCACACAGCCAAGAGGAGAATCATTCTTTTTTTTCTTCCTTTAAACACCAAGTTTCATTCTTATAGAAGGAATAGAAACCACCACCCTGCTCAGATGAGCCAATGGAAATATCTCCTCTGAAACGGGCCTTCAAACAAAATATCAAAGGGGAAGAGTAGTTGATTTTTTTTTTTTTTTTTTTTTTTTTGAGATGGAGTCTCGCTCGTCGTCCAGGCTGGAGTGCAGTGGCATGATCTTGGCTCACTGCAAGCTCTGCCTCCCAGGTTCACACCATTCTCCTGTCTCAGCCTCCCGAGTAGCTGGGACTACAGGCGCCCACCACCACGCCTGGCTAACTTTTTGTATTTTTAGCAGATATGGGGTTTCACCGTGTTAGCCAGGATGGTCTCAATCTCCTGACCTCATGATCCACCCACCTCAGCCTCCCAAAGTGCTGGGATTACAGGCGTGAGCCACCGTGCCCGGCCGAGTAGCTGATTTTTTAACCCTTAACACTGAAAAATGCAGAGCTTCAGCTGGAGTCACAGACGAAGTACAATATGTGTTGTGTTCTTAGCAGGGAAATGACTCAAGATTCAAAACAACTTCTTAGTGGCATCATTGAAAGCACAAAAACGTGAATTATTTCCCAGCAGACCGCTCAAAATCCAGTGATGATCATTCGGGGACAACAGGCTCCTGTTGGTCATGGTTATTGGCAGAGCCTAATTCTCATGCTGTCTCTTGAGTATCTTCCTCAAAGAGCCTGGGTTTGTAGTACATTTTAATTTGTGATATTAAAAGACAAAGAATAGCCAAAAAAAAAATTAGGGAAAACAAGGGGAGGTTAGGCAGATGTAACAAACTATGTAACTGTTTGGCATTTGAAATAAGCAGGTCCCATTTTGAGAGGCTGTTTCTACCACTGTAATTAGAGAAGTGCATGGGTGTTGCTCCGCCTAAGGAGGGGGATAAAATGGAGTTGGCTTTCCCTTTTCCAGTACCGAAAGCAGTAGATAACACTGTTTCAGCTCCACTGCCCCAGAGGAAGAGTGCATTTGAGCAGTACAGTGGATCGCTCTGTTCTCTGATGACTGACTTTGGAAGTAGCCAGTGCAAGACAGAAACTACCAACTGGAAAGAGGCCTTCCAGACTTGACATTCAACTTCATCAATGTCCATACCACACAAATCTACTCCCCTGTCATCTTCTCCTTTCTCTGAGGCGGGGGGAAAAAGTGGGCAAGGACTAGATCTCTGCTAATCTTATGGAGATGAAAGGAGTGCTAGGAATACATCAAGCAAAAAACATTCAGCCAAAAATAAGAAGGCAACTCCAAGTCATGTAAAAAGGGTCACTTCAGAGCTGTGAAGGAACACGCTTGTCTTTATCTCTGAGGACCTTAAGAAAAGTATTTCCTACTTGGAAATCTACTACACATTCATCTTTCTCCTCCCCAGAAGAATGGCCCTTGGTTTCACCATTTTAGGCAGCAAATTCTGACAATGGTTTCCTGTGTTACTTGCCCTGGTAATATCCGTTTTCAGGGTTGCACACCTATATTGCAATATAAAGAAGAATGGTACAGAGTCCATGAAGGGAAAATGGGAATAAGCCAATAAGTCTCTCTCCAGAGAAACGTCCTTCTCTTTCTCAAGATACAACATAAATGAAAGTAGAAATAACCTTAGTGTTTCACATGCTTGTAAAATGCCACTCTCTAAATGGCATAAATTACAAACTCAGTTTTAAGGACTGAAACTCATTTCTTTAGTCTTCAAATACCTACTCATCATTTACTAAGTAATATGAAGATAAATATTTTGGATCTAAAGCTATATTACTTACTGCATGAATATGTGAGTCACTAGGAGCATACACACCTCTCTAGTTAAAGAAAGGAAGAAAAACTATGCTTGCTGCAGATATTTTACCTACTAACCAAAGCAACACACTACATACAAGTAGATAGAAAGCACTGCCTCATCGTGTAAAAGTACTCTGATGTATGAGGAATACAAAAAGCAGTTTCAAACTCCAGCTGTCATTTCCAGAGGGTATGTTGCCAAAGGTATGAGTGAGAATGAGTTATTCTCCCGCAGAAGAATGATGCTCTATCAAACAAAACCAGGAAAAAAAAAATGAGTGCATTAAAAGAAAACTTAAACACTCTACAATGGTCAGATGTTAATAGAAAGATTAATTTTGAGGTAAGAGCCAAAACAGAAAAAGCTGGATAACTGTATTTGTGGGATTAAAAGCATCATCCCGAGGTAACACATCCTTCTTAATTAAGTTACAACAAACAACAAAATATAATGGACTAGCATATGCCTACTAGAAGTCAAATACAGATGAGACACAGTAAACAAAATATAACAAGCGGACAGCATGTTACAAATAAATGTATACTATTGGAAAAAGTTTCTGTGAACTATAATTTGTAAATGCAGTAGGGTAATTCATTATTTAAAGAGATCTGAGGTTATTCTTCACCAAAGCAAAGAACTATATAGAAAGCACATAGTCACTTCTCTAATTTATCTAGTTTGTAAATCCAGAGTTTCAAATATTACGTAAAGTAAGGCAATTCACACAACACAAATGGCTAAAACATAGTTGAAAAAAAAATGTTCACGCTCACCCAGAATGCAAGAGATGGAAATCTATTAGAGGGGCCCCTTTTCACCTACCAGATTGGTAAAAAATGTAAAAGATGTACATTATCTAATATCTTCACTGGTAAAACTGAAGGGGCAGTCCCATTAATACAAAAAAAAAAAAATGTGCACTGGAACTCTTTTGATGAGTAATTTAGCAGTAGCCATTAACATTTAAGATGCACACATACACACTTCTGACTGTTGTAGGAATACCTATACTAGTGTTCAATAATGCTCTTGACAAAGGTATCGTACTAGTAGGAACTGAGTACCAAAATACCCCTCAATAGAGGAATGGGTGAATAAATTGGATACATCCACACATGCAGCCACTAAGCAGAGTAAGGCAGAACTGATGCTTTGATGTGGAAGAATATCCACCATCTACTGCTGAGTGAAAAAAGCCAGTTGCAAAGTGGTATAAAATGTTGATCTCCTTTTAAAAACTAAGTATGTGTGAGTGAGTGAATGAATGGTTGTCTCAAACAGAAGCTATCCCTGGAGGTGGGAAGAGAGAAGGGAATGCAACTTCACTTTTTATTTTATACAGTTTAAAATTTTTACGGGTTTCACTTGTATAATTTAGGTAAAAGGGAGTTATGCTGCCATGAGACTATTAATCTGCTAATCCACTAAAAGTTCCAGAGATGCTCTGGGGGAAACCGTGCAAAACCCCCTGGAGCCTAGTAATATGGTCACTGGGATTTCCACAACAGAATCTGCTCAGATGAGCAGGTCTAAGAGGAACCAACCTTATTCTAATCAATCTTACTTTTTATTTACGCAGAAAATGATAAAAGTTTTAGAACAAGATAAGCACTTTCTCCCAGACAAGTAGTACTGAGAAGATTCAGTACAAAAATTTTCTTATAGATTTATATAAGTCCCCACCCAAACCAAAAATATCACCAAAACTAACAGATGTCAATCACATTGGCCCAGAATCTTACATCTTTAAACTCCCTAAAGTCATGTTCAAGCCTAGGCTCAAATCTCACCTACAAAGTTCAGGCCCACAACTTTGAGAACTAGAAAGAGCTACATTTTCCTTTCATCTTTTGTAGAGACTGGTATAACACATCTTTCTCTTTATTCTCTTTTTAAAAGGAATATCCCTTGATTTTCAAATGTAACTCTGAAAATGATATACTCAGTAGGGGTTTTAAGCACATCTTGGAGAAAGATGTGCTGGGAGAAAGAAAGGTAGAATATTAAATGAATAATCATACCATAAAATACTCCCATCTAAAATATGTTTAGAAAATGTATATAAGAAACAAGTTCACAAATTTGAAGAAGTTTTTAAAAGGCAACCAATTTACTAGCTAGCACAACCTCCAAGTTGTAAGAAAGTACACAGTGCCTTTTTCTCTAATGCACTTAATATTAAACAGTGTTAGGATAATATTTTCCAGGCTAGAATGTACTTTCTGCTTGCCCTAATAATAAATCTATGCCCAGATGGGAAATGGAACCAGAACTAAATAAACACAACACAGACAATGAGCAGGAGAGCCAGAAAAGTTAGCTAATGAGCCTGTGATGCCTTCACGATCTATAAAGTGGGTTTCTTCAAAAAGGAAAAGCCAAACAAATAGAATGGAGAGTACAAAAAGTTAGATATTTGATGTGTGTGGAATATAATTACAGATCAGAGGGGGAAGCAAATGGATTCCTTTCTGTATGTGATGGCTGGTATCACGTGTTGTCAGATACGTAAGCTTAAAGAAAAGCATGCCACATAGTCAAACCGGAGAAATCAGTCACCATCAAATCATCGACAAAACTTTAAAACATGCAAACTTTGTTCTGGATGACAACTGGTAATCTAAACAAAACAAACCCTTACTAGAATGAAATGTGGCCTAAAATTAGATGCAGTGAGTCCAACTCAATACATAAGTAAAAGCGATGAAGAATAAAAACAAAGAGGAAGAACAAGGAAGAAAAGCCACTTGAATACAAAGTGATTCCATTTTTTTCTCAACACCCACACAAAGACAGCAGTTTCTGACAAGAATGTTCTCGGCAAAAAATAAAATTACAGGAAGGCTTTTTTTTTTTTCCCAATGAGAAAAAGGCAGCTCTATATGCAGATTAGTAGGCTCAAATTATTTAAGGCCCAAATTTACAGCCCTCATATTTCAAAAACATTATCTGAATAACCTTTTTTTTATTGGAAAGAAAAGATGACTGGAAATACTGTTCTTGTTTGGAATGCTTATTTCATGTTGTGCTTGAAAATAAAATCAAAAGTGGCAGCTTACCTTGGCACTGGAAGCCCTGTTTCCCAAACCCCCTGAAAAACAAAAACAAAAACAAAATCTCTTAACATATTTTGCGTTGGATAGCATATTTCAAACAAGTTATGTGACCAAGTACTCCACTACTAAAGGTTTGTACGTGAAACCCAATGACTTAATAGAAAAAACATACCTAAATATCTAGTCAGATTACTGTGTAAATTCAACTTTGAGGGGAAAAAAAATCTTGCCTATAAAGGATCACTGAACTATTCCAATATATCAAGCTTCTTTTCAATTTTTTATACTATGTTATCGATACTTAAATTTCAAGACAAGAACATGACTGTGTATTCAAACTTGTTGGCTACAATACAATATTCAAGTAACAAAAGAGTTTATGGTTAAAATTTTAAAAGGAAGTTACTTAATTTTGTTCCCGAAGACCAAATGAAAATTGTTTTTTTTTTCCTCCCTAAAGACAACAAAGTGGGCTTACTTATTATGCATTTGTTTAAAGTATTATGTGTCTAGAAATTGCCAAACGGCATCACTTTTAACATTTAATTTTGGCTTAAGGAACCAGATGCTAGAAAATATCATTCCTATTGTTTGCATTTGAGATTACCATGATCTAATTTCTACTGAGAACCGACAGCAGTCAAAGCACATACGGAGGGTATTTTGTTCTTGTAAATGACTTTAGAGAATTTACTCTGTAAGCAGAGAACCCTGACATGGACATTCAATTGCAGGTATTGTTCTACTAGGATTAACTGCATTAACATTTCTTCAGAAGGCTGAGCGTCATAACCTCTTGCTTCACATAGAATGTTTAATGCACAAAGTATTTCACATACTTTTAAAATTAACTTAAGAGTCATCCCCCCTCACCAAAAACCATAATGAACTCTAAACATTTCACTTAAAAATATCAGTGATTTAATATTGAAATAAACTTGCAAATCAAGGACCCCGTAGAAACAATAATGAAAGCAAACTGAAAAAGACAATCCCTGTAGATGGTTTCCTGGGACTTCCAATTGGTTGGTTTACAATTAAATGCAGAGAGCTGCAGGGATACTCAGGGGGGCCTTTATCTTCCACTTCACAACACTGCTAGTGACCTGAGCGCCTCTTCAGCTCACCAAGGGCTGATCCTTCAAGGGCAACTGACAGTGGAAAGACACTAGCTAGCCTCGGTCGGCTGCAAGTCCCTTTCTAACTCTCCCACTTCCTGCAAAAGTCACCAGCAGTCTGTTCCCTTTTAATGGACTCTCACAGTTGACCACCTCCTCTTAACCAAATGCAATATTCTCTTTGCCCTGATGCTCCGAAATTGTATTTTAAATAGCCTTATCTACGATTACCTACTCCTTTGAGCACAATCGCTTCATATGCTGACTAGACAGTGGAAATCACTCATAGAGGTGGCTGTGCTTTTCGTAAAAGTGTACTTGGGAGCAGATGTCTAAAAAGGAAAGGAAAAATTAAACACCTTATTAGCATCACGATCATGGGACCTGACCTTTGGGATGTTTTTCCCCAGGTGTGATGGATTCAGACAGATCCATCCATATTATGTTCACTCTAATGGCCCAAGATACCTGTGCCACACAGCTGGCTGGTGGCAGGATTCACTCCATGACTGCCACCCTGGGTAGCTCCCCCTGGCCTAGAAGGGGAGGGAGCTAAGAAGCCCTAGCCATAGCTCTGTCTTGTCAGGAAATTGCTACACGACAAAGAAGAGGTAGAAGAGTCAGGGCATCCGGCAATCTAAGAGAAAAACCAAACTACTGCTGCTCTAACTAGAGGACCTAGAGCTCCTTTAGTTCCAGCTTTCTAAACTTCTGTGTGGTGACGGGGAGCTGGGAAGAAGGGTCACACACTTTTGAGAATCAGATGAAAGCTGTAATTCTCTCACCAGCAAAAAGATTCACAAACACAATTTCACCCAGTTTTGCAGGGTTCAGAGACCCCTGAAGCCCTTCTATGTATCGATTCTCCATAAGCCCCCAAGGATCCTCCGAGTTAAGAATGCCTGAATTCACTGGCGATTACCTGAACTCTGACACCTCTGGCCCTTATGTTATTTTTCTTAAATAAGGCCTCTGTCCTCATCAACAGGGTTACAGGTCTAATCTCGTGTTGACAGGGTCTATTTTAATTTTTTTTGAGACGGAGTCTCGCTCTGTCTCGACCAGGCTGGAGTGCAGTGGCCCGATCTCGGCTCACTGCAGCCTCCGCCTCCCGGGTTCAAGCGAGTCTCCTGTCTCAGCCTCCCGAGTAGCTGGAATTACAGGCGTCTGCCACCACGCCCGCAAATTTTGTACTTTTAGTAGTACGGGATTTCACCATGTTGGCCAGGCTGGTCTCGAACACCTGACTTCAGGTGATCCGCCTGCCTCGGCCTCCCAAAGTGCTGGGATCACAGGCGTGAGCCACCGCGCCTGGCCGACAGGGTCTATTTTAAATGAGTCCCTCTGCCCTTGTGCCATTTGCCTGCTCGAACTCTCCCTCCCCCACTGCAAGCTTTCAACAGTTTGTTCTCTCTCTCTCTCTGCTCACTCAGAAAAGTCAAAGTCTGTCCGTGCCCAGTAGATGCAGCCTACAGTAGGCAGGGGCCCAAGATTCCAGCGCGGTCCAGCCCGATGGGAAGCACAAACACACCCCCCCGAACGCGCCCAGCCTGGCTCGCCAGCAACTTGGACCGCGCAGCGGAATCGCCGCCGCTCCCCCGTTACTCCGGGACGCGTTTCTCCGGGAACCTTCGCTCCTTCGGGCCTCTCCTCCTCCCCTGTCCACTGGGCTCCCACCCCGGCAAGCGGCCGCTCCGCTGGGTGCGTGCGGGTGGGCGCCCCCGGGGAGGTGAGGGGCCCGGCCCGGGGAAAGATCCCCGCCGCCACCGCACGGGGCCAGCCTCCCTCCGGCGCCAGGGGGTGTGTGTGGCGGGGCGGCGACGTCCCGGGAGTCCTGCCCGCCGGTGTCAGGGCCGGGAGCGCGTGTCACTCCGGGCGAGAGTTCGGACTCCCGCCGGTTCCAAGTTCTCGGAGTGAGCCAGCCCCGGGGCGGACTTGCCGGCGCGCCGGGGACCGGGACCCAGGGGCGGGGAGGAGCGGGGCAGGGGTGCCCGGCCCGGCACCTACCAGATGAAGTCGGTGCAGTGGCTGCAGAAGGTGGGCTGCTTGAAGAAGCGCGCGATGAATTTGTGGTCCTTCACCTCGTGCACGTTCTTCTGCCTCAGCGCCCCTTTGCGGGCGAAGCGGTTGGCCACGTCCTGAGACGCCGTGGAGTCGTTGGCCGGGAAAACGTCAGCCATGGTCCCCCCCAACCACCTCTTGCCTCCGCCGGGGAGCGGCGGCCGCGGAGGGCCGGGTGGGCGGGGGCGGCGGCGGAGAGGTGCGGGCTCGGGGCGACCCCGGGCGGGGGGCGCGGGCCGGTGGCCGAGGTCGCGGCGAGGGGGCGCGGCGGGGACCGGGGAGAGTCAGGCCGGTGCGGCGCAGAGCGGGAGCGGGAGCCGGAGCCTGAGCCTGAGCCGCTGGCTCGCCCGCTGGCCCCAGGCTCACTGACAGCCCGGCGCCCGGCGCTCGCGCTTCCTACTCGCGGCGGCAGAGGCGGCCCGGAGCGGCGCCGCCCACCGCGCATGCCCCGAGCGCGAGGCCGCGCGGACGAGAACGGCGGGGGCGCGCGGGCCGGGAGCGCGCGGGGGGGGGCGGCGGCGGCGCCGAGCGGGCCGCGCCGAGTGCGGAGGAGGCAGAGGGCGCCTGGCGGTGCTGGGAAGACTGAACAGGGAGCGGCGGCGGCGGGCGGCCCGGGGAGGGCCAGCCCGAGTGGGGATGCGGAGGAGGAGGAGGGCGGGAGTGGCGGGTGCGCGCTCCTCCGCCGCCTTTTTCTTTCCTCCCTTCCTGCTCCCGGCTCTCCTCCCTCTCGCCCTCCTCCGCCTCAGTTCTCCTCCTCTTCTTCCGCTCCTGCCGTCCGGCCTCCTCCTCTCCCCGTCTTCCTCCTCCCACTCCCGCTCTCTCTCTGTCTTATCGACGGGCTCGGAGTCCTGCGCCGTCCGTGCCGGGCCGAGAGGAGCCCGCGTTCCGGAGTGGGCTCCACGCGCAGCCCCTGCCCCGGAGCCTCCCGCCCGGTGCTCACCCGCTAACCCCTGAGCACACGCAACAGGGAGTCCCTTCCCCATCTTCAGGACCCCCGATGTCTCCGGGGCACGACGCCCGTGTGTTAGCAGCCTGTACCAGCTTGAGGTTCCACCTGGCCAAAATGTCGCTTTCATCACGTGTGCCCTAAAGGACACAGGCTCTAGACCTTCCTACAGGAGGAAGACAGCGATTTTTAACTAATTAAGCATTGACCCTTTCCCCTACCTTCTCTTCTTGACCTATACCGTATTTCACCTGCGTGTCGTAGAGACTTTTAATTTGTACGTCGGGCATTTAACACCACGTGGGATGGTTAAAGGACTTGTCTTAGGTATTTATCCCGTTATTCACTGGCCATCAGAGGGACGATGTTGATTATCAGGCTTTCTTGATTTTGCAAGTCTAGGACCTTAATTTAGAAATCATTTTGCATCCCAAGCTAATTACTGCAATACTGTCAGGTGCAGAGTGCAGCCGGTACATTTGTAAATTACCAAGTAAAACTGCCTGTGAAAGAGTAGCGGACATGGCTATGCAAAGGACGCAGGTGGGGATGCACCAGCTAATCACTCGCTGAATATTTATCAGGTCTGCCTGGAGGCCGCTAAAATACTTAAGGGAAATAATCATTTCTCAGCATTTCATTGGTGTTTTATTTTATTTGCCAGATGCACGAAGTTCCCAAAACGACTTTACGAGCTAAAGACATCAAGAAAGAGAACACGTTTGATCCTTCAATAAATTTTTGTTAAAAGAAAAAAAATTTTTTCTAAAATACTTTCTTAGAGCGTATAACATAGGCCAAGTAGAGCTAACATTGTTTTCTTTGAGTTTGCGTAATTGTGATGCTTGATGATAGGAATGTCCTTTATATTTTTAACCAATGGAAGCTCTCCTGACTGAACATCAGTGGCGCATGCACTTGACAGATCCATTTACAACCTCTTGAGCCAGTCTTGGTGCTTCAAGAGCTGCACCTGCCTGGCGTTCTATCTGGTGAGAAATTTCACCACTTATGGTCGCCTCTCGAGTCCAAGGAGGCAAAAAGGGAAGAAGCAAAGAGGAATGAAGAGCAGGGCATGTCGGGGAAATAGTCCCAATTCTCCATGAAACACTAGAAGCATCTCAAGCCATGGTTGTTTCTGCTTTTAAGCAAAGCAGAAATCCAATGGAACATAGTGGAATGAAATAATTTCTTTTCTCAGAGTCATCTTTTATCTAAGACAGAGGTCCTGGCACATTTTACGAAGGTAAGCTTCTTTCTATGTCCCTGAGGCTTTGATAGGAGGATGGAGAGAGCTGGAGGATGAAGTTGCTGATAGCGGAATCCTGAGCAAAGTCATAGGGAAGACAAGAACAAAATGAGCCCTGGCAGCAGCCTGGGAATCTCCTGTGTACTCCATGGAGTGACTGTCTTAGCTGTCAGTAGATCAGATGGAACAATGTGTCTCTTTTCTTTTAGGTTGTGGCTTTGCATTCTTGCCTCAGTTGTTACTGTTTCTCCTGGTGGGTACGAGGAGGAATGATTAACTGGAAGCAGCTGATTCATAGTTGGGCTGGGCATGAAATCATCAGTAGCCTACATCTTAGCTCAGTTGAGGAGAGGGGACTGTGCACCCGGAGTGGGGAATTATCAATGTAGTGTAACACTGGCCCTAGCAAGGACTGATGGAAATGTGGATGTACTCCTGCAGCCCACCTGAAGTCCCCATGGTATAACTAAAATGGAGGGGATTAAGGAAGGGAGAGCTCCCTGGGTTGGGGTAGTCAGTCAGTCATGAGGGCATGAGTAATTATTTTCGAATGTGCTATTTCATGGGGAAGGTGCAGGAAAAGAACAGGGAATGTCAGACTGAACGCAGAGTTTTTCAGAATCTGCCTCTGTCCTCTGCCTTTGAGGAGTAAGCTCAACACTGTTTGGAGAGGTGTCACCTAGACCAGGGGGACCCAGAGGCTGGAGGCTGGGATCAAAGTCAGAGCACCAAACAGATGACTCAGAATCAGAATGGTTTGAAGCCAGTGGTCTTTCAGATGCAACTTACAACTTGCTGCTCTATGCAGCTAACTGGTCTGTTTTCAGATGAACCAGGGCATTTTCAAATTGGGCAATAGGAATTGCGTAAGTATCAAAAAAGCATCATTCTGAGATTTATGGTTACCAAGATGACTTAAGGCTTATATTTTACGCTATGCACTATATTCAAGGTTTAGGAGAGGCAAGGCAACTGCCGAAATGCATAAGCAGGCAGCAGTCAGATTCACTGTAACTGGAAGATCTCTAAATAGGTAGAGATGAGGATCTAGCTGAGAAGCAGAACACTAGAGTCAGGGCCCATTTTGGGGTAAGTTTAAGGAGCAGGATAATACTTTATAGGAGTGGATGAGTCAGATGCCCTAGTCAGAGGTTAGTTCCAAGGCTTCCAGGTCTGGTCATGCAGGTTGCTCATAGCACAGGAGCACCCAGTCAAGAGACTAAGTAGGGGCTAAAACTCAACTCACATACTCCTCTCCAAGTGTACCTTTGGGCCTGTGTCTTCCCAGAAAAGCCACCATTTTTAAATTCACATCAAGGTACCACACGGGTTAGTGGAGGCCCTGGCTGGTTGTGATTCCAGTTGGTTGTGTTGCCACTGAAAGAGCTTCTGTGGGCAGCCTCCCTGGAGTTTGAGGCTTGGGGACTTTGCTTCTAAGCAAGCCTTCTTCTAGGATCTCTTTCTGTCTCCTGTATCTCACAGCATCACTAGTCCCTGAATGGCTCAAGTTGAAAACCTAGGCATCATCCTTAGGCTTCCCTTTGTCTTACTCCCATATCCAATCCATGAGAAAGTTTAATTAGTACTTCCTCGAGGACAGACCTCAAATCTGTCCACCCCCAACCCTAGCCTAAGCTCTGTCTCCTGGGCCACTGCAGGACCACTTAATTGGTCTTCCTGCTTTCATTCTTGCCCTTCTCAATTTGGTCTCCACAAGTAGCCATCTTTTAAAAATGTACCTGTTTAAACCCACTTTATGTCTTGAATAAATGGAAAGATATGCCCTGTTCTCATACAGGAAGAGACATTGAAATGTCAGTTTTTCTTAAATTAAACCATAAATGTAACTTAGCCCAATGAAAGTAGAATTTTTTTAGAAGTAGACAAGCTAATTCAACAGTCCAAATGAAAAAGTAGGAATAAATATCCCACCAGATATTAATCAAGAACAAAAAGAATAACAAGCCCAAGAAAAAATAATGGCAAATGTCGTGAACAGATAGTTCTCAGAAAAGGAAATAACAAATAGTTCCTACGGTAAGATTCTCAACCTGTCTCATAAAAAGATAAATGTAAATTAAGACCATATTGAAACCCCACTGTGACTGAAGAGTTGGGCACACATAAAAAGTGTAAGGAACACACTGTTTCATTAAGGGTGTACAGAATCAAATGGTTTCATACATCATTAGCAGGATTGTAAATTGTCACACACAGACATGATACAGAGCAATTTGGCAGTAATTGTCGGATTTAAAAATGTAACAAACCATTTGATGCAAGTACTTTTAAAAGGTTGATACATTTTATAAATGTAATCCTACCAATTCCACTTCTGTAAATGTATCTTGCATATATAAATGCACAGGTACATGAAGGCATATGTATAAAGGTACACTGACTCCAGTAGCAAACAATTATTAAATGTCTATCCACAGGAGATTAGTTAGATCAATTATGCATTCATTTGCTAGAATTATTTGCAGCTGTTTAAAAAATGAGATTAATTATATGTACTGATACAGAAATATCTTCCAGATGTATGAGTGAAAATGCAAAATGCAGAAATGTGCATAGAATGTTAGCGTGTATGGGTTTTTAAAAAGATTATATATAAATATACATTTAAAATATCTGGGCTGGATGCAGTGGCGCATGCCTGTAATCCCAGCATTTTGGAAGGCCAAGGTGAGAGGATCATTTGAGCCCAGGAGTTTGAGACTAGACTGGACAATATAGTGAAACCCCGTGTCTACAAAAAAATATAAAAAATTAGCCAGGCATGGTGGCATGTGCCTGTAGTCCCAGCTACTCAGGACGCTGAGGCAGGAGAATTCCTTGAGCCCAGGAGATTGAGGCTGCAGGAGCCAAGATTGTACCTCTATACTCCAGCCTGAGTGACAGAATGAGACCTCCCATCAAAATAAATAATACATGAATTGGTTTTTAGCCAAAGCCATAATCCTTGAAT